TTTTTTTCGGCTGACAATATTATGTATAATCGACTAAACATATCCATTCAATTATTTTGGTATTATATATATTGTTGGAACTGTTTAACTATCTTGTATGTACAACATAATATCTCATTGTGGTACTTATAGCTTACCATCGTGTACGTACAAGAAAATATCTTCACACAGCATACTATTGTGTACGTAGTAATAAGTTGTACGTACCAGAATGAGATGATATGCTGTTCTTACAAGTATGATAATTTTAAATTAAATTTAAAGGTGACGCGTATGTGCCTCCTAAGTTGTACCATTTTAACCATATAGCTTAGCAAATGTACCACCGTTGGTAATATGCACTCCCTTTCATGAATTAATCAGCGTGGACATTTCAGATATATCATTGTCTACACTAATGAATTAGTCAACAATTATAAAACGCGAGACTATATCAGGGGCGGGTCCAGGTGAGGGCGTAATGGGCGTAATGGGCGTACGCACACCGTTGACTATTGAGAAAAAATTATCGGCCCCCCCTTTTAGGAAATTCTGGATCCGCCCCTGATTGCCGACATGCAATAATAGAGGCGGGAGAACTACTACAGCCCATTGCAGGATGGTCTAGGAGTAACGCTGGACCTGCGTTTATTTTCACATGTATTTATCAATTATGTCTGTCAATACAAAAAATACAAAAAAAATTACGAAACCTTTACAACCTTCTCTCTATTTTTCGAGACAAAATCAAATAAAATGAATTCACCAAAACTGTGAACCCCAATACCACCGTATTAAAAATGCAAAGTACTGCCTAGCTGCATATATCTACCTCCCTGACTAAAGAATGCCTTTACCCAGAACATACCACGTGACCACGCGATAGCGCCCGTGCGCCATGTTCTTACCTTTTATCTACTACCGAAACGCGGGAATATTTGATTCCCCGCACGTCTAACTGTCACAAATTGTACCTACGCATTGAAAACTATTTTACTGACATGACTATATAGCTTATGAATTCGTTTAAAAAGAAATCCATACCTTGCAGAACTTGTATCTAAAAAATGAAATAAAAAACATACAATCAAAAGAAAGCAATGTTCGTTATCTTCAAAATTAGAGATTCAAACTCTAAACTTCAGATTGTTGAACTATCGTTCTAACCGACTGAGGTAGGGAAGACCTGGTCTGCATTTCCTGGTCGGTGGTCGGGTGACGCTGTGGATAGCGCATTTGCCTTTCACCAAGGCGTCCGAGGTTCGATTCCCCTATCGGACGTGAACATGTATGGGGTTACCTTCCAGATGCACGTTCGCTCATCCTGGAATCATGATTTGGCGTCGCCATCTTGAAACAGTAATCATGGATTAAATGTCATCCCCTTCATCATCTTGAATCTCCATAACGTGACTTAATTTGTGTAACTTGACGTCATGGCGCTCTGCTCTCAAATATATGTAAAATGACTTCTGTCCTAAAATCCTAGAGTTTAGCTTTTTAAAATCAATTCACTAACGCCTTCCGTTTTCTAAACTCTGTAATGCAACTCTATGTCGCATTATATAAATGATGCCATGTTTTTATTATTTTAAACATTTGGATTTTTAAATTTACGTGACGTCATGCATTATTAAAATGTATGGTGGTTTTTTCCATTACACGACTCGTAGAGCACCGGAAGATAACATGATATGCCGCACTTCCCTGGCAATCGATACGGAAATCCGCCCTGAATTACTGCAGATATTGTTCTCATTACTAGTAACCATTTCCATCCTACAATGTGTCAATGTCCAAGATGGCGTCGGGATCTGCTCCGAAGCGGCAAGGATCAAAATATGCAGGTATTTGAAGTAACTGATGCATTTACAATTGTCAGTGATTGTTTTGTTTATCAAATGTTGACCGAACTATAAGATAAAAGCCATTTAAGTTCCTTATTCTAACGTTTTGGTCAAACTCTAGGCTCCGTTCACGTTAACCAGTAGTTAATGAAAAATTAAAATTGATGCCACTAAAAAGTAAGAGTTTTCAAAATAGAATAAACTCTCAAATCATATTGATCTTATCTATCTCAATAATATATAGCAATGGAATGATATCAGAGCCTTTGAATTATATTGTATTCATATTTCATATTTTTCCTAACCACTGCATGGTTTACTCTTACCAACCTTCTTCTTGATACGAGTCATACTCATTTTAAGTGTAATTGACTCAGCGCAGCTCGAGACGATATAACGCCTCCAATTAAAACAGGGTATATGAGAAATCAGAAGCTAAATCTTAAGTTAGAACTATGTACATGGGGATTAATAAGTGCTTTTTTAGATTTGGTGTTACTGGGGCCAGGGGATGGTACTCCAAAGGTGTTACCTTGACTACTTGTTCTGATAATTTGTTGCATTCCCCTGGTGGATCCTGGGAAGACTTTGAGTGGTACAAGATGTTCTTCTTTACTCTATCCTGACCTTTGAGCATCCGGGGTCAGTTGTTATCCGTTGGTAATTCACAAAACCTGTCATTATACGAGTCACGAAATGTAAAAGAAAAATATCCGTGTCTTTTTATATGTCTTCGCGGTTTTGTTACTTGCGTATCGGAATTGGCTGTGATTGGATGGTCAACTTCTGTTTTATAGGATTTACTTAATACGACGGTATAAATGTTGGCCTACGACGACGGAATTTGACGTCACGTTGTTTTAAATTTATCATAAGTTAACATGCTGCAGCAGTTTCGGAGAATTTTCAGCAGTGTTGTCTCATATATATATATAAATCTCTTGGCAAAGATGGCGAATTATAGGTTAAACTTGTGTGTCTTTCCGTTAATTTTGAGCAGTTATCATGAGCGACAGTGCACAATTTCTTCTAGACAATATTTTTGTTTATTCGTCCTTGCATCCTTCCACTCGTTTGCCGGGCTCGTAACGCCTAGAACAGCTTACATTGTAACGTCACCTAAATGCTTTTTCTTCTTATGACGTCTCATGTTATGCGAGGCGGAATGAGAAGCGTCAAAATGACTGATCTAGTTCTTTATGAACCCAGCTTTTTCATAAAATAACACTCTCTATATATATCACTGCACTCCTCCACGGTGATCAATTACAAAAATATATAAAAATAAGAAATCAAATAAAAGCAAGAGTCTAAATCGATAATTTTGCTGGTGTTCTAAAACACATTTGCACACGGCTTTAGCGTTTTTGCTACTGGTAACACCTACCATACGACATACGTATTGGATACAGACATACTAATATAACCCACATATATAGTACATACAATTCAATCAGAATCCGTATATATAGCGCTTTAAGGTTTTAAGGAGACAGTAACATGTGATGATAAATGACCACCGCCAGGGGGCGTAATTTCTCATAAAAATGATGTCATGTATACACATTGCGATTTCTACGGATAGACAATGGCGCTGTCTTTACTGATTAAAGCTGCAGTTGTTTGTATATTCAATATAACTCATGAGGAACAAAAACAGGAGTGTATATCACAAAGTTAAAATATGTATCAAACGGTATGACATTTTATTTTGTTATCAAAATTGAATGTTTCATAAATGTACTGATTTATTCCGTGTTTTAAAATGTGAACTTGATATATACCTTTCGAGAAACCAATAACATTCTCTCCAGTATAGACATTGGTTACCTTTACCAGATTTTATTCATATCCCTACAAAAAACATTTATACAATGATGTATTGCACGACCAAAAAACCCCTAAAACGTCATACCTTCAATGACGTCACAATATTGACAATGCCTACGCTAGGCTGTGCTCTCTGATTGGTCAATTAATTCGTAATAGTAAAACAAATATCAACTTAATTCTCACTGTAAAACTTTTACATATATTACATTGGTCAAAATGTAATACTCATATCCAGGGGGCGTAGCTAACCCTTGTTCGGAGTGGATTCATTTAGGAGCAGGTCTAGGACAGGGCATTGGTAGGGGGGAATGCTTTTTGTACGTTTTACTGCTTAAACAATTGGTGGGCCAACAGAAGTGATTCATATAAGTTGAAATGACCTGTTCCATAATTGTTGTAAAATAAATATAGGTTATTTTTTTTATTACGCGTATACCCTCCTTTGTCCCTTGCTACGGTTAAACGTGTAACACGTACCTGGCTATGGTTCCCATTGTATTTTTAAATACGTAAACCATGTATTAATTATTTTCAAACACATGTGAACCATACGCAATGTAAATGGTACACACTTTTACATACGTTCACACGCAGTACACATTTAATGTTAATTAAGTTACCTTAATATGTGTAAACCAGATGTGTGTGTCTGATAAATATGCACACGTGCAACTAACAGCACCTATTATGTATAATATTCCGTATTGTTCTTACCTGAAACGCATATCTGTCATGGATCGTGTTAGATATTCATGCTAAGGACATTCTGTCATTACTCACACGTTCATTTACCTGTCTATTGGCCAAACCCGTAAGACGTAATATATATATGTGACCAAGCCTTGGGGCTTCCATACTTGGAACTTACCTGTGGATCTATACCGTTATTTCTTACCTTTATACAGTTTCGTAAAAGTTTTGTGTGGATTGTAAGAAAACACTTTAAGGTAAGTTTTGATTGTTACGTGCATTATTCAGTTTTTTCAAAACTTGTGCCTGACAAATATGGTAGTACCACGTGTTCAAAGTGCCACACGGTCACCATCAGCCAGTAGGTACTTCGACAGTTCGTGCGCGTTACCTTATAACGCCTACACTAGCCCACAAAACTTCATACTGCATAATCCGTAATGTGCTGATGTGTTTTGTAACGCCTTCATAATATGTCAAGATTGTCGACTTACCTTGCTTCATTATATATAATGAAACATATTTCACTGGCGTTAATTCTTTAATTCTTTCTTATTCGGTACGTTCCTCAACGGAATTAGATTATCTAAGTCTGTGGTTCATCTACCCAACCACAATTAGAGAATGGAATGCCCTACCACATACCACCGACAGTGCTATTAGTCTTAATGTTTCAAGACTCACCTACATGAGACAAACTAGACCACTATACAGGATTTTATAACTTGTGTAGCGCAATACACTTTTTTTCTTCTTTAAATAACTTTAATTTCACCAAAACAAATGTTTCAGTTGATAGAAGAGGGGATGGGGGATGGGGGTCACTTAGACATGCCACGTTTGTCTTAATTATCCCGCTGAAGTTAAAAAACAACCTTTTAAAATTAATCTTCGTGAAGAGTTGTTAAAGAGCTCTGCAGATAATCAAAATGGCGACATATTAACGTTATTAACACTGAAATCTACATGCTATATAACACATGATGAAGAATATGGCTGATGTGGCTTTATACGTCTCTTGGCTAATTTGACACAAGTGTTTTCAAAATAAAGTTTTTAATTTTGTAAGTTGGTAAAAAAGAGATTTATGGTATTTGTTATACCCACGAAAATACTGTATGAGAAAATATATGGGTCACATATGCTTACTAAAAGACCCATACACAGCTATATTCTCCTGTCAAAAATCTCGTTTTGACATACATTGAACAATTACGTCAGCTCTAAAGAATTTATTGAAATTGAACATCAATGTTTCATTCCCAAACAAATTGCAAGCTTCTTTGTTTACCTACATGTATGTAAGTATACGGTTTCTCTTCAGCCGAATAAGTTTGCCCTTCAAGCACTCAGCTGGAGACAGGTTGACAGCTAACTGTCTGATGCTGGTATTAGCGGTCTCTGTGGGACACAGCAGACAGATTTCATCTACACGACACGTTTTCTACAGACACACGACAGCTATCGACACATAGTTACGACACAATGCACTAAAATATGAGAACAAACTACAGTATACATACATATACAACTAAACCAAGTAATGCCCACGGCCTGTGATCGCCGAGGGCCAGACAATTGTCCAAAATTACATTAGCTACATCATACATTCACACACCTGTGTTAATAGCAATGGATTATATTGATGTACACTATACGTGTCAGCGTAGTCTCTTTAGTAGAGCATCACGGGATTATCAGAGTCCGTGGCAGCATGTCGCAACCCTATGTAAGAATAAAGAGAACTTCTGATTAAATCATATCCTACATTCTCTAAAGTGATACGTAGTGAATGTAGGATATGATTTTAATCAGATTGGTGAATATATCTATCAAGTTGAAAAAACCCGTCATGGCCATTTTGTTGTCTTTTGCTATTGACTCTCTATGAAAGTGCAATTATGTGTAGTATCTTAATTACTTCAGTCACGGAATATCATATTACTATCCAGAGACATATAAAGTCAGTAGTATATATGCGTCTCTGCAGAGACGTATTGGCTTTATACGTCTCTGGTCTCTGTACTATCTTAGTCCACGGACTTAGATATCTAATCTAATTCCGTGCTAAGTCCTTGCTTCAGTATTGTTGACTGGTAACACAATTAATTGCTTCTTTTCGTTTTTATTTCGAAAATTGCAAGTATCTATTTTACGAAATTTAGTACTTTGTCGGATAAACATCACTCCTCATATAAAATCGGACTTTAGCAAGACTACTAGTCAACATAAAACGTGGCCTTTGATTTTAAATAAGTGAATTTCGTGAATAAAATTATGAATTGTGTTTTACTGCAATAATACGAATAAGAATAGAATGCTAATTACATTACGGCATAATCTTCAGTCTGCTGAAGCAGGTCAATTAAGCGTAATTGGTAGAGTTGAAACTTTCGTCCCTATGGTAACAAACCACGAAGATTTAGCGACTGGCTGGTTAGCTTAATTAATTTTCAAAATAATGTTTTCGGTATGTTTTATAATTTCTATTGAATCATCAACAAAAAGTCCTGTATTTATTATAATTATATCTATCTATATACACTTATTCATAGCTATGATGTTAAAAATTATCTTTAAGAGGGAGAGTTTAGCTAATGTAAGCTGACTAATAGTAGGCTTTCGTCGATCGCTCACAACCTGTCACAATGTCAAAAAATGAAAGCAGACCCTCGTTGTGCATATACACCTGTTTACCGTCTCTAATGAATGCAATATCACAAATACCATATTGTTTGTACATAAGAACTTTGTAATTTATTTGTTTCAGTTGCTAGCAGACGAAGTCTAGCAGAACACTCATTCTTTTACGAGAAGGTAAGAAAACTGGTTCGACATGGGCCTATCAAAATGATCGTTACATTTTACCGACAGATGGCGTACCAACATGGCTGAAAAAGAAGACTTGGGTTATGAACAAACACTGGTAAAGTTGATTTTTTCTTTTACCAAACGTTATTTTAGTTTCTAATATAAATTGACTCATTTATCTAAACAAACAGTCATATTTAGAGTAATTTAATCATACAATTATGGGATGTAACCTAATAATAAACTATTGAGAGTAAAAACATCGTCTGGTCTATGTCCTGTTGACAACATTACTATACTGTACTGTACAGTATAGTATAGGCATAGCTTGTTGAACCCTACTGTGTAGTAGGCTAGTATTGGATATGGATCTATTAAATACCTAGGATTCAACATCACCAATGACCGACACTGGGGAAAACACATAGATGAGATATGCAACAAATCTTATAAGACATTAGGATTATTGAAAAGAAATCTTTCGTCATAATTATAATATTTATTCAGGTAAAAGGCAAATAATACACTTCTATCACATTTTGCAGATTGGACAAAAATATATATATAATATCACAGAATGAGATCTTCTTAAATAAGTTATTTATGCCATAAGATTAGAAGTCAGTCAGGTGTTAAAAACTGGATTGGATTAGATTAATTTAGGCCATGTCCGCTTGAAGTTAAACTCCAGGCATATAAAGGACTCATACGACCTGTCCTCGAATATGCGAGCACTGCCTGGGACCCACACCAAATATATCTCCAAGATCAGCTGGAAAATGTACAGAAAAGAGCGGCAAGGTTCATACCATCAAATTACAATTACGGCCCAGGTAGTATGATAGCAATTTTAGACCAGCTGCAACTACCATCCCTAAAAGATCTTCAAACTCAAAACAGACTTCTACAAAGGCATACACGGTCAAGCCAACTTACCATCTAATCAATTGAAAGAACCATCTAGGACGACCAAGAACATGTACTTGACGCACGTGCGGTGTAATAATATCCTTGGATGTGTCACCGTATACCTATCAAGATCAAGATCAAGATCTAATTGAACAGGATAACCCGTTAGTGTATGAAATACGAGGAGAGAGGAATCAACAGCTATGTATCATACTGACCTATCAAAATAGTATATACTCAGCAATGTTATGATAATAATAATAATAATAATAATCTTTATTTAACGTCGTGTACAATCGTCAACAACAAACATAAGCTCTGTAGAGCTTTTATTATGCCGCCGCTAAAAAGGGAACAAATGTTTTTTTAGTGGTGGAGGAAAACCCACGGAGGGAAAACCACCGTGCCATGGTAGGGGTAACAACTAACCCTATCAGACATCACTCTCTTTTTTTTCCACCACCGCTGGGGATCGAACCGAAACTCTTGGGAGAGCGAGTGGTCTGAACCTCATGCTTGATAGCACACAGTAGTACAATGACTGTGCGCGTTAGCGATCACGGCTACCGAGGCACCCTGATGGACACTAGATTGGTTCCGATTTAGAAACAGCCAAGTGTTACAATGTCCGCAACCTTTCTAGCAGTAACAGCCAGTATTACGCAATTAAAAAATGATTGCCTATTAAAAATCCCATATTACTTAAACTTTTAAAATGAAATAGGTTTATGATCGCTGGAATAACACACCCTGCACAGAGTTAATTCCTGTCCAGGAAGAAGATGATGATGATGATGATGATGATGATGATGAGGTGGGTGGGCAGCTAGGCATCCCATCTCCCTACTCCAACAGTGTTTGAGGTTTACACTAGGAGCTACTTTTGACGGGCGTTGTGTAACAGTCGGCAAAATCATATCTGATAGAAAAAAGGCTGACCAGTAGCCTATTCTAATGTTACAGGAGTACCGATCCCCCAAAATATTCCCATTTTGAACTCCCTACACTGGAACTTCCTCTTTTCATTGTTTTCAAAACACATAGAAACACTTGCAAATCAGACATTGGCAATATCACATCTCTCATCTAGATCATAGATGTCATCTGCATAGGGATAATGAAGTTACCAAAACCAATCTGCCGTTCATATAAGGATTTTTTGGACCTCTATCTTTGGGGACAGCAATAAAAGTTACATATTTTATTGATCTGTTGGAATAGAGAATACTAAAAAATGCCTCAAGAATCTAGAAGACGAGTTGGATATCTTCGGTTTCATATCAGTGGCTGTATGGACTCAAAAAGAATTGTTAGCATTAATCATTGGTGTTTGCTTTCTTCAGAAAGTGATGTAAAGTAAACAGGTTACGGGACACATCTGAATACTTGTTTTTGGACAATTTGGTGTTATTGAATTGTTATGCATGTTTAACTATTTTTCACACAAAAAAAATCTTGGCAAAATTCCTTTCAGTATAGATGAAGGGATTTAACCTATTTTTGTATGGAATGTCCTTGGATCAAGAGAAATAAATGTTGTATAAATGAATGAAGAGTGGGTCACAAGATATCAATAAAGGTTTACTGGGTTGTCTTTAAAGTGAGTATGTATTAAGTATGAGTGAAAAGGTTTTGACTTAGTTTGGTGTGGTGCATCTCTGGATCAGGGTATTCATTTTTTTGTGAATCAAGTTGGTGGTCTGACTGGTCTCCCTTGGGGAAGATTTGGGGTCCCAATAAGGAAACTTCTGATAAATAAACATTAAACATATATGCATGTCAACCTCTGGACCATCCTCAGAGGGATTTGTTCCTCAATCTCTCAGCAAACTCTGAAAGGGGGGTATATATATGCATGTGAAACTTTATGCAGCATTTCTTTAGTTCATTTTTGTGGTGAACCCTTGTTTTATCGAATGAATCATTCGAAATCCAATTTCATTTTGATATTTTCATTCACATGAACTGCCACATTCCTGAAGTACAATCACTCAAATATTAGTGATACTCATTAGTTTAATTATCTTATTCACTCGACCAATAAGTCCAAAGGTCAGAAACTGATTTTCACACCTCAGTGAGGTATTATAAATTGTTATTTGTAGTATTATTTGTTTTAAAAAGTTGTCATTGTCCTGTTAGAAGAACTATTGTCTCCTATGAGGGACAAATCTGGTCAGAATGTTAAAATAGGCGGACCAGATTCACTGGGTCCTATGCCATCAGAGGGATCAAGTAAATATTTGGGTTCAGAGGGACAGTCCCTTTCAAAGAGAGATCGTTGACATGTACTCAATTTAAAACTATTGAAAGACTAGGTTAACAAACTTTACCCTGAACCTCATTAGGAAATCTGGCACTGTTCATTTTAACACAGTAAATAAAAGTAACATAATATGTTGTGAAATCATTCATGCATTACAGTCCTTGTATAAATGTATGTGTATACATTCGTTGACAATGATACGTTTCGGCCTGCAGGGATACAAGGTTATTAATGTGTGTACATGTACAGCCAGTATAACAGGTTTATTAGTTAAAATCAATTAGTGAAGTGCAGAAACCAAGGTTATACTAGACTGGTATAGATAGTGGCCTAGTTCAGGTTTATCTGGTGTGACACAAATCCAATTTGCTGTGAGGATATATTTATAATGGCTACAGCAACATCTGTTGTGAATTTTCTTCTAAAGGTCCATGAGGTGTAATGTCTTTTTATTTGGCATTTAGGTTGCTGGGATGAACAGTGATGAACTAGATGACAATGACCCACTATTAAGGTCACTGTTTTTAAAAACCTGTATGTTGAAATCTCATACTACTCGATAGTGAGGCGGACGTAATACCAATCAAACAAACAAACAGGAAAATATTCAAGTAGCCCAGATGAAATGTGGTAGTTGACTTGCCAAGGCGTTATAAAGCATTGAGCCGGAGCCCCAGAAAATTGTCAAGCATTCCCCAGTAAACACAATTTCTGCTTTCTAGCATGAAATTTCAACAAAAATATTATATTATTAATTTTTGGAGTGAATACTAATATTGGAAAAAAAATCAAGCAATCTGTATATCCATTCAGCCCAGACAGATTCTAGGCAGCCAGGATACCGTTTCAGATTAACCCTTATTAACTTTAAACATATTATATATACAACATGTACATGTGCAATTCATGCATAATGTACATATATATCTCGTAAGATAAATTAAGATGTCACAGCCATGCATCATAAATGTCAAAAATAAAACCATTATTCTTACATTCTGATATTATTTGAAAATATGTAACACTGTTTACGCTCATTTTGCATGGGGTGCATGTTGACTTAAATTTGATAGCACAGTTCTAGTGTAGTGTCTGTCATCAACAACTCGGGCTTTGAAGAGCTTCTTCTTGTGAACTGAACGATCTAGGGTCGTAATTTGGCCAGTAGCTACTAGGGATGGAGGGCTTTAATATGTTTCCTCAAATAAATGACTTTGACCTTCTTTCAAGGTCACAGTGGTTAAATAAGATAAAAGACTTCAAATAACATCATTCAAAATATCCTGAGGTACAGATGAAGAGCTGATTGATATTTTAGCATGCTATGAAGACCAACCATGTAGAAATGTCCTGCCCAGTGAAATAATATGTACCAGTAGCCATTCATTTTGCACAGATTGTCACATGTGTATCATGTGGTGTTGATACAGTGTATTTATAATTGATATTCCGTCATCTTTAAGACAATCATTCATTAAACATCTGAAAGGTCTAGACTATAAATGTATCGCTGTCAAAATGGAGGTCTCTTCAGTGCACATTCATTCATCAAATATTTTATGTGCAAATCAAACGAGTGAAATATCCCGAGTGAAATATCCCAGCTCGTTATCGTGAACCTTTGAACAAATTTGAAATGTGATATGTCAACACACTTCATTCATCAAAGTGATAGAAAACAAATGGAAACCTGTAATGTCAGCCAAAATCAAACAACAGATTGTACATTGTGACGCCTTTATAGTTACAGTGTTCAAGGGTAATAGTAATAGCTGAATAATTCACTGTTTGTGGTTTTTGCTTTGGTTTGTTTGTTTTTTTACGTCCTATTAACAGCTATGGTCATTTAAGGATGGCCAGGTTTTGGTGGTTGAGAAAACCAGAGTGCCTGAAAAAACTTCAGACCTGTGGCCAGTACTTGGCAACTGCCCAACCTAGGC